TGTTTGGGTTGGCGATAAGGGGAAATTTGGTGGTGTGGTTTGGGGGGGGGGGGGGGGTTAGGACTGGGTTTTCATGGAAACCTAGAACAGGTGTTAGGGTAACAGAGAGGTTTATTGTTGTAAATACAGAAAGAGTTAGTGTTTGGTTTAGGGATATGGGGAGGTATAGTGTTAGTGTTGGGGGTCACACTAAGGGTCAGTATTAGTGTTTGGGATACAGGAATGGTTACATCCCACTGACTGACAGCAGAAGTAAGAGCAGGGAGGAACACCTAAAGCACCATGGGGCTGCAGAGATTTAGCCCCACTTCCTGTCCAGGTGGCAGATGTCGGACAGAACAGGAAGTGAAGTCAAATTGCAACAGGCATAGGGACAGCACTGGGCATAAGTGTTAACCCTTCTTCAATCTACCCAAAAAGATAATGAAGATGGTCATTGACTGGTTGCTATGGGTTACCGTGCCTTGTTTTATCGAATACCCCCAACAGATAAAAATAAATCTTACACGGCAGAATGTTGGGGTATCTGTTCTTGTCCTTGTTCTCGTCTCTGTTGGCCATTTCGAAGGATCCTTGAGGATTTCCCATCTGCAATGACTGAGGAAAATCAAACAAATGAGTGTCGCTATGTGTACGACGAAGAGAGTGCATCAAGGCATGAAATTAGATTATACAGAGTGCGCTCGATCACATTCACAGCACATCTTAATGTGAGTCACGGAGCGCAGCGCACAGTGAAGACAGGATAACAAGGAGCAGATGCTGGTAATGCTACCTGTACCCGCTAATGAGTCCAACTCCGGCGGGAGGAAAACTCACGGCTGGTCACAGATCACGTGGAGCCTAGTGCCTAATGTCTGTCAGCAGCCCCAACGGACACAGAGCTGTACTCACATGACACTTTAGAGCCCTTTGCTCCCGCTCCCACCGGCAGCTACATAAAAGAATTTGTAGGGATAATGGAGCTGGGCCAACACAGACAGTGATTAGACACTCCCAAAAGAGGAGGGGGCTATGACTTGCAAGGAGGGAGGGAGCTGAGCTTGGGAATTGACTGGTCAATTTTAATAGCAGTTTTAAAGGCGCGTTGCAATAAAAAATCATTTATGGAAGGTAAAACACTGCAGGTAAGCATTACATATTTTTTTCTGTGCTTTTACCTGCATTTTATTTTAAGTTGGTGACAGGGTCTCTTTAAACTAATACTGCTTTGTCATGTGATCAGTTAGCACTTTCGCTGGAAGTAGAAGCCTGGTCACGTTGAAGTGCAAGGAACTGTGCAGTATGCAAAGCTTTGCAAGGGCCCACTGGAATTTAGGGGCCCATATATATTAGCTGTGGGTTGGGCAGGTGCTGGGACCCACTCCTGCTGGCATGCTGACCCAAAAACTGCTCACTTCTAGGTGAGAAGTGGGAGGCATTCTTCATAATACGCTACCCATGCTCCCAGTTTATTGTATCCAAGTGGTATCGGGCAGTGAAAACCTCCTTCACTTCCTGCATGACCAGAATGCTTCTACCATTTCCTCCTCGTAGCGTATGGACAGGAAATGAAAAGGCTGTCCGCTGGGTGACCATGGCTGCATATAATGAACCATGAGCGTTCACGGTATCAGAAAGGTTGCTTTCCGTCAGCATCTACCTATACATTAGAAAATAAGTGTTTGCACATAGGCAATAGTTGAAAGCCGGATCCAGCAACTGTTAATACATGGGGGCCTTTGGAGACTATGTCCGCTACACTATCTTCCAACTACGGGTCAGCCATGGGCACCAAGGTACCTGGGCACTGAACAAAGAAGCAGAGGGATTTTCCCATGAGGTCTACAGCCGGATGTGTTAAAGGGAACCAGTACTGGGAGAAGTCAGGGGCTGCCATCATTGATCTCCCAGGCAGGCTCTGGCTTCAGTACCAGATGACAAAGTCAGAACTTCTGATTTGCATTCTTGTTCCAGGTCATTGTGCTAGGAAGTACTAAAGCACCTGGGTTGTCAAGACAACCAGGCAATGAGCATGCTCAGGACTGGTTCCCATCATAGCCTTTCAGTGGATGTTTCCGTTAGGACCCATTTACATGTCTCAAAGCACTAAAACGCAGGCATTGACCCACCATTACCACAACACACCTGCTCTATAAGTGCCTTTTGCAATAAATTGTGCTGCAATGCAAACCAACGCATTGTACACAAGAGTCCAACACACTGCAATAAGCCACTGCACATGCACCGTGCACTGTGGTTTTTAAAAGGGGTCAACTATGTTTTTTCATCCATTGTGGTGCATTGGCAGCCCATTCATAATAAACAGGGACCCCGTTCATAGTAAATGGCAGCTCATCCATAATGAATAGACAGGTTAACTTGTGCCATAAGGCAAGTTGATGCTTGTGCATGGCCTATGTGTGAATGGCCCTTGATGTTCTTCTTGCTAATATGTATATCTCGCAGCTTGTGGACTGTAAAGGGCTAAAGGGGGAATGTAGACCAAAGCAAGCTGGATAGACGCAAGTGATGCTCCAGATTTCTAGCACAGTTTCTGATTAAGGGGCCCTTTGTGCCGTGTTCTGAAGTAATTACATACTCTGAGGTTATGGCACAAGGAGATCTCTGAGCCGGTTCTATGCAGAATATGAAGGATCATAGCACATTGCTAAGGAGATGATTGTGTTGGGTCCCTCTGCTTTTTGGACTCAGGAGAGGACAGGAAGATATCTCCCCGTCCTTTGTTCTTAGGGTGATAGCTGCCTGTTTATGATCCATGACACTGTGAATAAGTTCAGCCTAATGTAAATAATCTTATCAGAGTGTGTTAATGTTTTCCTTTCTATGCATGGTTTCCAGTTAAATATGTACTTGTGGAATATTTGCATGTGTCGGGTCTGCCCCTGGTTGTGCCTTAACGATGTCTCAGCTGATTGTTTGCTTGACATCAGCAGGCAATGTTCTGTCTATAATGGACTCAAACACCCACAATGCTCTTAGTAGACCATGTGATCTAGCCTGCCAAGGCTCTATAGCTGGCCATGCACACTTCTCGTTCAGCCCTGCGGATTCGTATAACCTCACATGGGCCCATTTCCTTTTTTGATGAGGCTACCTACAGACATGGGTGGCATGTATCATGTGTATAGTCCCTCCCATCACCTCATTGTTTTCCTTCCTCACCAAGATGTCCATCCGCACTGCAATGTATATGGGAGGTATACCCAGAATAAAGCAAAGAGCTCCACAACAGAATACAGACTTACGTTATACTCCTCCCGAAAGAGCTTCCCATCGTCAGCTGATCTTATCCTGATCTCCTCCTCCAACCTCTCCACCGGGATAGGGAAGTAGGTCTTGCTAACAGTGGGGGAATTGCTGATTAACAACACTCTCTGCTGCTCTGTAGAAAGAATAAAAGAAAAAAAAAACATTAAAAGGGTGTCTATGGTCAAAAGCTAAAAATAAATCTGTATTTCTATACTGAATTTCCATAAGTTCTATCTCACTTCTAATAAACATATCCACGTAGCCATCGAGAAGTTTCTTATTAAAGATCCCCATAGGATGTACTTCCTCAATGCACTGACACAATGTCACTCAGCCCTAGGAATATGCACTTGGAGTCACCACTCTAAGCCTGCCGTGACGTCTGAACTACAACTCAACATCTGAACAATGTGACATTATCATTGCTTGCTGGAAGCAATGCATGATGGAATATGTAGCCTGAAGGAATGGAGATTGCATTACATCAAGCAGCAGGGAAAGAGACGCAAAGCACACTGGGAATCCAGGAAGTTGATGAAAGTGATGGGCAGATGGAAGGCAGCACTCACTACATGAAAGGGATTTTTTTCAAGTAAACTTTGATTGTATTATAAAAAACACCTCCAGTATGTATTCCTATTACAATGCTGGTGTTATAACAGGAGAGGATGTGCTGGGACTTTACAACTCCTTTAAAGTATGATTATAGGCAAAACGTAAAAGAAAAAAAAATCATAAAATGGTGAGGGGGGTAGAACCCCTGTTTTTATTACTGTATGTGTCTCCGTTCAGGAGCTTCACTCTCTCCAATTGTAGATCACCCATATCACGGGCAATGAAGGATGAAACCAAAATATGGAGAACAGGAATAGAAGGGAAATCTTCAAATGGATACTCTTTATTCTGTGACAACTGTCTAAGAGGGGATTTCCATCACATTTGAAAGATATCCTCTCACTTCCTGTTGAGTCTACAGGACAGGAAGTTTATGGATATTCCAATAATGAGACACAGAAAACAAACTGACAGCAGTTCTAGCCTTCACACACTATGCTTTTATGGCAGGAGAGACAAGACTTGGGCATCCCTACCCTTCAAGTACTTAAAATCTATCTATCTATCTATCTATCTATCTATCTATCTATCTATCTATCTATCTATCTATCTATCTATCTATCTATCTATTAAAATGCAACCAGATTGGTTCCTCTGAGCACCACAGACACTTTCCTTTTCCATCAGCTTCCTATCTGAAAGTCTGTTACTTCTGCAAAGGACAGGTTCTCTCTGATGTACTTTACACGCAAAGTTGAAAGTGACAGATAAGCTTTTTCCACGCTATTCTTTTCTTGTGGGAAAAGGTGAGCATGTGTTATTTCTGCTAAGTTGTATCAGCTCCGTGAAGATGTGAATAGGGAGCCCTCTGCACATGGGTAACACTCCGCACATGGGGAGCAGTCAGTACATGGGGAGTAGTTAGTACATGGGGAGCAGTCCGCACATGGGGAGCAGTCCGTACATGGGGAGCAGTCCGTACATGGGGAGCAGTCAGTACGTGGGGAGCAGTCAGATCGTGGGGAGCAGTCAGTACGTGGGCAGCACTCTGCACATGGGAAGCACTCAACACATAGGAAGCACTCTGCACATGGGGAGCACCCTGCACAGGCGGAGCATTCAGCACAAGGGGGGCACCTTACACATGGTAGGTATTCTGCACATGGAACATTCGTAAGCTGAAACCTCCTTCGAGCTATTAAAAGTACACTTCAGTCAACAGTGAGGAGTAAAGGAAATCAGTCAGGAGACAAATACGTAGTCTGCAATTGCAATTCTCACCTTCTGAAAATGCAACTTGCCTGAATTCTCTGTCCCCAATATTTTCAGTAGTCAGTGACCCAAAACACATATAGAAATGGAGATATGAGTATGGCGTATAGAGATAAAATGATGACATGTCCCTGTTTTTAGTCTGGCTATATGCTTGTTCCAGATCAGTGACTCCGAAGCAAGGAGGAAAAACACAGTTAGGCAACTAGCATCCCCATAAGGTGGTCAGCAGTGGCCACATTCTCTAATGACAGGTGGACATTAAACCTTGAGATGCATACAGGACAGACAACCAACCTGTTTGGGGCTCCACTTTTCAATTGCCAACCTGCCTTAGAAGTCTGAATGTGACTGCCAATGTAAGAAGCAGAAATAGAGTACATTAAAACAGCACAGACTTACCAAAGTACACTCTTAGGGGTCTATTTCTAAACAATTCGCAGAGCCCTTTACCCTGCGGATATCAGTGAGCATTCGTTTTGTGCAAATAATGGCAAAAACAAATGTTCTTATATTTTCTTTTTAGGTCAAATGTATTGTGATGTAATGCTACATTATGGCCTATAGATGGAGCTCCACATGCAGTATTACTTCACAATACATTCGACCTGAAAAGAAAATATATCAAGAAAGTTCAGTTTCGCCATTATTAGCACAAAAAGTACGTTCACAGATATTCACAGGGCAAACAGCCCTAGTAATTGTTTATAAATAGACACTTATGTGACCCTGTCAGGTGCTCTCTGGAATCATGCTGCAGGGGATCACTGAGAACTCAGATTACGGAGAAAACATCAACGTAGTTGCATTGATTGCTGGATAACAATGGTTGCTCACCTATTGTGTAGGTAGAGCATGTCAAAGTGTTGATCTGTCATACAATGTACAGGGTGTCCCATGTTCTGTGTCCCTCTGCAGGAATTATAAGTATGTGTTACCAGTTTAGTTATTCATATGCAGAAGGCAAAAGCAGCCTTGTTTAAATTCCACACCAGATTCCTTCAGGATAAAAACAGACAACACAAGTGCTGACACGGTCTGTAGAATCCACTACAAGACGAGGTCAGGGAAATACCGATAGTTTTTAAACCATATTGGGTCTGTCTGTGCAGGGTCTGATTCATCCAGGTCAGGTCATGGAAGACCTAGTTGTATTTGGTCACTTTCAGCTGAATTTGTTCTGTAATGTTGAAGATATTTCATCACTCGTCCAATCGGCTTCCTCATTCCTAATGAGTGAATGAATTAAGTAGGGACGCACCGATACTGATACTAGTATCGGTATCGGTGCCAATACCGAGTATTTGGGCAAGTACTCATGATTCGATACCTTCCCCAATACCAGAACTTCAGTGCAGTGCAGTGCCATAGGGGAACATCGAGACGGCTTCCTGGGCAATCAGGAAGCTGGTTGGCGAGTAATGACAAGCCTCCCGGCTCCATGCTGAAATAATGCTGAAAATATTGGTACTCGTACTCGATGTAAAAAAACGGTATCGGTGCATCCCTAGAATTAACGCATGCAGTGGGACAACCCTCGCATTGCAAGGGGTAGCTGCTCGTTTTGGTCTAAGGGCCAGACTAAAGAAGATATACTCACCTGATCCTCAGTCCTGCAGCAGTCAGCTCTCCTCCCCTCTGCTCCAGCTGTGGTATGTCCCACGGTGTCCTCACATCTAATGATGGTCAATGGATATGCCCTTCTTAAACCCAGGCAAGAAAAGGCTGTGGGGACTAGCAGCCTGGCATGACCAAGGATTGGCCGAGTATATCTCCTTTAATCAAGCCCCTAGACCATAACGAGCAGTTAACCCTTGCAGTGCAGGGGTAGCCCCACTGCAGGGGTTCATTTTGTTCAAGGAAAGTGGCAATAAAAAGCCCCAAATAAATACATGAAAAACAAATAAAAACAAAAATACCCTGCAAAAAGGACGGGAACCAAGATCCCCAGCAGGAAGCTTAGGTCCTAACTACTTGACACTAGGCAAAAAACTGAGCTCCCTCTAGCTGTTAGGGGGTTTAGCCACTGTCAGGGGGCCGCCCCTAGGCTGAGCTTTGTTTGGTGCCTAGTGTCCTACTCCTGAAGGTGGCGCTATATATCCCACTTAGTCAAGATTTAAGATCTTCGCTGTGTCCTTCAATAAACGAAAGAGAAAACTATTTATATTTTTTTTGTCTTTGATAAAAATAATACCTGGTGATCCTGCCATGAAAGCCCATGTTCAGAGAACTCCTGTTATAGGGTGACAACGTATTGCCCTGTCTCATAATTGTGCCCCTGTGTTGTCATGCAGTCATGTGCTCTCAACGGAGGCTGCGTCAATGCACATTCCGCAGGAGGGTAGTCGCCATCGGGAAATACCATGCAGCCATCTGTGGAGTCCATGTAACAGTAACTGCAAAGAAGCTGCGGGAGATCAGCAGCACTGAGATGCAACACAGGGTGGAAAAAAGTGAAAACAACAGGTATATTCACAAAAGGGTGAAGAGTTTGGAGAAGGCAGGAGAAGTGAACAATCTAGGACAACGTAGCTGAACTGGAAAGTGAGCTGAATTGTAGAATCTTTCACCCTTTTGTGAATAACCCTGGAAGTGTTTATCATACATAGCACTTAAGCAAATCAAATTTCATTCAGTTAGGGATTACATCCGCTTTAAACCAAATGTTTAAAGGGTAACCTGTAAAGTGCTCCCGGGAGACGGGAGTGTTGTATTTCCCCCCACCATTTGGTCTGATATTGAAATAAAGGGATGTGGAAAAAAGGAATTCATATATTGGATACTATAATTTATAACCGGCTTCCAGCGATCAGAAGATTTATCACGCTAGAGGTCCTTTAAGGAGAAGAGACTCAGAAACAAGCAGCGCCCCTTGAATTAGGAAGTGTACTATTTCCTTTCTGATTCCTACTTCCTGTGTAAGCCGCAAAGATGAAATGACGCTTCATAGAAGAGGGGCTTTCCACGTTCCCTTGAGATATGGCCGATCCCTGCTTGAGACCCTTTGTTAGTACAAAGAGGACGATATCCATAGCTGGAGGGTGGAAGATGGAGATACAAATGGTGTGGATGGTGTACAAGCATACAGGTGAGCTGACCATAAAGAGGACCTGTCACTAAAGCAAAGACAATTTCAAAGTGCAGTTAGAGGGAAAGAAAATGGACATACAATGTACCACCCAAGCCTTAAGATCTTGTTAGGATAATCAAAGTTCAAGTCTATTTTACAACTGATACTGAGATCTGCAAGCACAGTACAGATAGGGTTAAGTATGGTAAACATTAACAATTATAACATTAGCGTGCGCTTGCTAGAAAAACACAGGAGGAGAGCAAAGTTTCACACCCCAATAGAGTAAATATAAATCTTATAGAAAAATGGTTTAACCCAATTTCAGGTATGCAAAGGCCCAAAAGGGGGGGGGGGGGGCTTTTTAGAAACACTCTAGCTCTCACAATATTTTATATAAAAAAGGAATTTATTGTTCATACAAAGGATAGCACAATAAATTACATTGGTCTTAAGTATATTGATGTACGATTAAGCAGATGGAGTTTTTCTTAGGATACCCCAACATGTTTCGCCTGAACGAGGCTTCTTCAGGAGGATATTAATTCCTAAAGAAAGAGCTTACTGTGGACCAGTCTGCGAGAGGCCACCCACATGGATAAAAGATAAGAAAACCAGATCCGTCAATCTGTAGCACCACTCTGGGGAGGTCGTGTCAGAAGGCAAATCGCAGCAGGAGTAGAACAAGAGGAGGCGACAGCGCGTCATTTTTGTTGCCAAGGATACAGCTTATTGTGTCCATCAAAATATGCCCCTCCAATACTGCGTTTGTACTTACCCGCCTTGTTCTTGCTTCGTTTCCCTAGTCTCATGAGTGTATGTCTCAGACCAAAATCCCACGCTGCCATTTATAAAAAATGTAATCGGCCCATCGATGATGTTGTGCTTCCTCTTGCACCCGAGTCATACACTCATCTGTTAAAAAAAAGTATTTCCTCTCGAGATCTCGTGAGGTTTTGGGTGGGAAGGTCTTTTTTTTTATGCACAGATAAGTGTATTGGCACACAGCGCATGCACGCGATGAGGCGTATGATGTCATGTTGTACATCTCCCACATGCACCATGCCCCAATACATTTATTCAGTCCTTAAAGGAGAACCTTAAAGTCCTTAAAGGAGAACTATGGGGTCAGTGCTTTTCCCCATAGTTCTCCCCAGGGTCACGGGAGGACATAAACTAGCGTCCTCCCGTGACCCAAAGCTCAGTATACTGCGAGCTACAGCTCGCGGTCTACTGAGACCGCCGCAGCCGGGACGGATCCCGACATTACTGTCTGGACCCACCCAGCTGCGTGAATGACAGCTGGCTCTGCCTATCTAGAGGCAGAGCCAGCTGTACCCTCACCCTCCCCTGTCCGTTCCGCCAGTCAGCGCTGGAGGATCGGACAGGGGAGGGGGGAATTCCTGCAGGGAGCCATGAGTGACAGTCCCCACTCTCTGCAGGGACAGGATCAAGAAGTGAGCGAGCGACGGTATGCGTTCGCTCACTTCCCAATCTATTGAGCCGACGTGTGACAGTTTCATTGTCACACATTAGCTCCAACTATGAGGCTGAGTGATTTTCACTTACCTCATAGTTCTCCTTTAACTCAATTTAGGAACTAGATTCCCCCGGAAGGCAAGGGTGACGTAACTTTCTCATGGGACATCTGTGAGTCCCTGGCTATGTCACCAGTGCCTAAAAAGAAAGAAAGTGGAATCACATTAAAGGTAATCAAATCTTTTTTTTACACATCTAATGACACTTAGATGATTTTACATAAGCATAAGAGATGAATGCTGATGTAAAATTTAGTAGAAGGGAGTATGGGCCCACTTCAAGCAATATTTCAATATTTTTGTGCAAGAAATACACTTTATGCTGTCCCCCAAACTTATCAAAAGGCATTTCAAATGATTCATATGCAAATACTGACTTTCAGTTTTGAATGTCAATGCTCTGGCACACCCCCTTGCATTAAGATTGGTTAGAGCAAGAGCAATGGGGGGCAGGTGGAAGGATGAGGCACCTGGCAGAGCTCAGACTTTGTGATTGGAGGCATCCTTTACGTACTGACCACCCTGGTACAGGGCACTGTTGACATATGGAACGTCAGGCACCTCTAGATGCCCACTTGCCAAGTGTATCCCAGGTTTTATTTCGGCTTACTTCAGTCGGGCAGATGCATTAAAGTACTTTATGAGCTTTGTACAGCAATGTACAGCCTTCTGGAAACAGAGTATAGGTCAAGGAATACAGGCAGAGTTCTAATAAAAACTGAAACTGGCGGGGGCGGGTTGAAGCAGTATTCAATTCAGTTGCAGACTGAAGTAGAATTACTCTTGAAAGCTTCCTGAAACTTGTAAATGCTTTCTTTACACGTGGTCCTTACGCAAGCTACAGCCTGTGTGAACAAGGTCATAGGGAGCCATATGTCCTATCTATTCAAGGACTGATCACTTCTGATTAGGGTGATTAGGGCGATCGAGCTACTAAAAATCACCCATCTCGGTGTAACCTAAAAGGGAAGCGGGTATTAATGTCTGGCTCTGACCTCAGGGGTTCACTTGAAAACAACCCCCCCCCTATTGGTATACCTTAGTAGAAAACATTTAGCTCCGTGATTATACAGCTTACTAGGTATGTGTCTCAAGACAGTCCAACAGATAGGAACGGCTCAAAGTTGAGCCTTCACCCCTGGGTGCATTGGTGGAAGTAGAATTGGAGAGTATAAGTAAAGTTCACCTGTCCGATAGCCACAACAGGTAGTAAGAGGAAATCCCTCCAAAGAAAGGGAAATTTCTAGTGGTCAGCAAAGCCAGTGTCCTCATTGGAAGATTTCCCATCTATTCCCGTTCTGATGACAACCCAAAATGTGGGATTCCCTTTCATTCTCACTTTCAGTAATAATGGTCACCAGGACAAACAGGGGGGGCTTTTCCTAATAGAGACAGCAGTAAAAACCTGACCGGTGTTCTAAACCCTCTCCACTTTACCCGAAAAAAAATAAAAACAAAATGGCTTCAGTTGCATTTTAAAGTGACATTAAACCCTCAGATTTTTTAACATAAAACAATACTGTAATGTGCGCCTTACTGTAATCCATGGTAGTTTCCCTTCTCTTTGCTGCTCTTCCTTTTAAATCTGTATCAGTTCTCATGCTCTGCAGAACTTCTGTTTTGCAGCAGACTGCCTTGTCTCAGGAATGGATACACGGTGTCTGTGTATCCGTTTGTATAGGCTTGTAACCTGAGCCAGCACTACAGGAAGAGGCCCTGAGCTGAAAAGGGAAGTTCTCCCCAAGCATGAGAAGACATGAGGATTTAAAAGGAAGAGCAGCAAAGAGAAGGGAAACAACCATGGATTACAGTAAGGCACACATTACAGTATTGGTTTATGTTAAAAAATCTGAGGGTTTAATGTCACTTTAAGTTCTAAAAGATTGTAGCCACACTCCGGGATCTCTAACGTGCTGGTCAAGCTTCATGGTAACATATAGATCATGGATCCCACCAGGATCCTCATTCTTAGATATAGATCATCTCTCCGGTTATGATTCTTTGGAATGTGAATGTGTGTCTCAAGATGTTCTACTTGGTGAAGCAATCACTTCTGATACAAGTGGAATGCAATTGTTGTAAGAGGCAGAGAAAACAGCTTTACTTTGAAGGGAAAGTCTACCTAAATCAGCTCGGAGTACAGTAGGGCAAAGCTTGCTCCCCGATGGGACCTTACTGTTGTCCAAGACTCCTCTCCTTGGGTGCTGCTGCTCTTTAAAGTGAAACTCATAGATGTGATTTAATTTAGTCATGTAATACCTAACCACTTAAACACTCTCACCTGTATACCCTCTTTGGACCTCAGCAATTGTAATATTTCAGCTGTAGACCTACTGATATAGCAATACCTTATGAAAGAGGTATTATGGATTACATCATTAAAAATCCTTTGGCAGGTAAACAGTTAACACATATGCCTTTCAACTGTATATCGACGCTTACCCGGAGTTTCACTTTCGGTCGTTTTGTCGCATTTATACTTTAACCATTTTTATGTTTTTTGGGAGTTTAACTTTAAGCCTCTTTGATGGAATCATTATTAAAAGCAGCAATAGGCAGCCAATTGAACTCCAGCTGTGTTGGACTACAAGTATCCGCATGTCCTGCTTTGTAACCTAGCCGACCATATATACTCCATGTCTGATTGGCCGTGCTGACACTTGTAGTCAGGGCCAGATTGACATAAGGGATACTGGAGCGTGAGCTCCAGACCCACCACTGAAAATAGGCCCAGGATCACCTTGGTATGCCTGATGGCATTCCGGACCGGCTGGGCTGAACACATCTAGGCAGAGGCACCGGCAGCTCTCTGATCAAGCATATTAGGCGGCCACTCGCTGGAACCTCACAGGGCCACCTAATTAGAGAGCCTCCTCTGCTGCTTCACATCCGACCGACTGACAGCACCAGGCACATGATGCTCTTAATCCATCCCTGCTTGTAACACCTCCAGATCCAACAGATTAAAGGGTCAGTCTAACCAAAGCAGATATCAATTGCTTTATCACCCTATACAGCCATTACCGGTTCCAGCAAAGGTGTTTCACTGAGATCTCATTCGTACTGCTGAATTCTCTGCTATGTGAACGAAGAACCAGGAGTAGAAGCGAGAGCCACAAGAGGTGGCACTGGGAACTCAGGGCCACTGACATGACAAGTTAAAAAGAAACGGGTAATACAACTGGTTCATAACCATAAAGAACCGAAATTTCACATATGTGCGACTTTACCCCTGAAAAAAAATTTGCTAATCCTTCCCATTCTTTTTTTTTTTTTCTACTCCCTATTCCCATTCTGATAGAACTGTCTATACTGTTAGGAAGAGGGCTGATCACAGGCAAACATTCATATCCCCAAAAGGAATCCCCAGGACTGATAGGACTACAGACACCCCACACAATGGAAGATGGATGAATTTCAGTGAAAAGTCCCTTTAAATACACTGTGCTGAAATATTCTTAATGACTGAATTATGCACGCAGAGACCCAGTTCCTTTTCCTGTGAGAAAGTCACACAGGCTGAACTTGATACATTGAAGAAAGAAAAGAAAAAAAAGAAAAAGTACGAGCTGCATTACTGCCTTGGACAGTACCTTGTTCTTCCAAGATCCCGCTCTTCTTGTCCCCGGAGCTGACGTCGGCTTTACGGCTTTTCCTGGACCTTAAGAAATGGAAAGCACGGCCTTTTAGCATTCTACCTGCACCATGAACGTCTTCTGATAGAGCAAATACAGGAAGTGTCTTTCTCATATGGTTAAGTTCCTGTTACACTGACAAAAGTTTAACGCTTTGCAGTATGAATCAATGCCAGCAAGACTCATGCTCATATTTTCCTGTTCTGCGGCCGCAGTGCATGTGACCTGTCACTCAGCCGGTGACTGTACATGGCTAAGAGGTCAGTAGGTTTGCCAATGACACTGGGATCTCAGTAGGGACACTGAAGCTGAACTCCAGCAGATATAAAGGATACAAGGTAATGTTGCTCTGTATTCAATAAAGTGACCCTGAGCTAAATAGAAAAAATAAGCCAAAACTCATGCCTGACACAAGAAGAATTTCAATACTGACCTCTCCTGCTGCCCATGAGGGCGAATGCCCACTGTCCACCTTCATCCGTGAGTGACCGACACTTCCGGAAGGGTCAGTCTCCTGGGTCACCCGCAGTACTCAATGGTATCTCCTGCTCATCTGCATGTCACTACAGGACACAGTGGTGCAGGAGTGACCAATGAGTGCTGCAGGGGGGCGCAGGAGATCCACACTCCTGAAAAATGGATTCACAACTCCCAGCAGACTTTGGTGGACTATTCCTCAACAATGGAGATCCGGTCAGCAGTGTGGGCAGCAGACGAGGTCAGTATCATTCTTCTGTTGCACGGTATGAGTTTTGGACATTTGTATATGACAGGTTCACTTTAATACGTTACTATATGTGTTTTTTCAAAAGCAAGCAGTGTAAGAGCCTAAATCTCGTCCCTGTCAACACACTTCCTTATTTGGCCCGCTGAAAGCTGCACTGCCTCTCCATTGAATGTCTCCCAGCCAGGCTCTTCCTCTATTCATTCCTATGTAAATGCAGAGCATTCCCCCAGCACTAGATGTCCTCAGTTTGTTGGCCAGCATCATTCAACCCACTTCCTCTGAGCCCAGGTCATCATGGACCCACCCTCAGCCTGTAATTGGACAGTGAAAGTAGAAGCAGCACAGTGATGAGCCCTGTCACTCGGCTTTCTCCTACTATCAACATGTCTCTTGTCAAAACATGCACTCATTGGCTCCTTTTGCTGCTTCTTCCTCTCACACTCCAGCCCTGCTGTAAAGGTACTGCAAAAGGCCGATACCAGGTCGAATTCAGGTACTTACACGGCTTGCATTTAAAAAACACAAAATACATTATATCAGGATACATTTTACCCTTTGCTCACCCCTCCCTTTGGAACAAAAAAAAATCCCTATCTAAAAGCCCTTTTTTACTTACCTTAAGCCGTAGTCATGTGACACCACAGCTTTTCTGTTTACTTCTAGTCCTTCTTCTGTTGTCCACCTGCATGATGTGGACACTTCTTATTGGATGTCCATCCTACTCAGGATCCAGAGGAAGACTGGCATCAGTGGAGGAGAGTAATGGGGACCAGCGAACTCAGGCGCCATTGCACTGCTGAATTTGCAGTCCCCCCACCCAGAAACAGCAGCGATGAGGGACTTGGAGGGTGGCTTAGGTAAGTATATCTGACTTCACAAGGTATGGGTTATGGGTGGATGGGCTATGGGTGGATGGGTTATGGGTGGATGAGCTATAGGTGGATGGGTTATGGGTGGATGGGCTATGGGTGGATGGGTTATGGGTAGATGGGTTATGGGTAGATTGGTTATGGGTGGATGGGCTATGGGTGGATGGGTTATAGGTGGATGGGCTATAGGTGGATGGGTTATGGGTGGATGGGCTATGGGTGAATGGGTTATGGGTAGATGGGTTATGGGTAGATGGGTTATGGATGGATGAGCTATAGGTGGATGGGTTTTGGGTGGATGGGCTATGGGTGGATGGGTTATGATTGGATGGGTTTTGAGTGGATGGGCTACGGGTGGATGGGTTATGGGTGGATGGGATGGAGGGGTCGGAAAAAAAAATTGTTTTTGCCTGGAGTGGGGCTTCAATGATATATTCATGATTTTGTGTCTTTTATATCAACTTAGAGTTCAGCTTTAAATCCTCACTCAGCCGCTCATTACTGGCCCCAGATCGCCCTCTGAATCGATCAATACAACAATATTTACACACTCCAGGTAACTGCAACATTTTGGAATGTGGAATATCCCTCACACAAGCCTGCTGACTTGTAAATCCTGTCTTTGTGCCAGTGAATACACACCCCTCATTGCATAACCTAAGCCTAACTATTAGAAAGAACGATTACCTTAAAAGGTACCCAGCCAGGATAATAAGCGCAAAACAAACCAGCAACGGTACCAGGACTGATGTCAGCAACGACGAGGTATCATGCTGCGTGGATTCTGTAGTATCTAAAAATAAAAAATACAATTAATTATAGAGTAATTCCAGACGACATGTGGAATCATTCAAGAAGCTGTCAATGTTATTATGTAAACAATGCCTAAAAGAAAACTACGGGGTAACCTTTTCATCCCAACGTGTCACGGAAGGACATACACTAACCTCCTCCCGTGACCCAAAGCTCAGTATAATGCGGGCTATTGCCTGCTATATGCTGAGAGCGCCGCAGCCAGGACGGATCATGGCAATACTGACAGCGGGCTCTGCCTATCTAGGGGCAGAGCCCGCTAAGCCGGCCCCCTCACCCGTCTGTTCCTCCAGTCAGTGCTGGAGGATCGGAGAGGGGGGAATCCATGTGGGGAGCGGTGAATTACTATGTTTTCGCTCACTTCCTGATTTATAGAGCCGACCTGTGATAGTTTCAATGTCACACGTCGGCTCTAACTATGAGGATGAGTGGAAATCACACCTCATGGTTCTCCTTTAAAGGCTTGCTGTCCAGAGCAATTTGTTGATAAAATCAGAATTTTTGCTAGTAAAACAGCCTAAAACACACAAACAATTATATATTTTCTGACAGCAGGGGCCCTGTAGAAAAAAAAAAATGCTAGTTGTAATTTTTTCATACCGCACAATATTTGCGCAAATGTTTATATAACCAGTATTTTTAGGATGAAATACACTAAAATGATATTTAGTACACAGAAACAAAATAGAATACCCACTTTTTTGGTGAAATCTAAACGATGGGGTAACCTGGGGTAAATAGGCACCAAACATGACAAGCCGTAAAATTACAATACCCAAAAATTCTCTTTATGACTCCTAATGTCATATGTCACATATGGACCCCTTCTTCTTTGGCTACAGCAGCCGGAGAAATGATAGGCTGAAACCGGAAGTGGTGTAATACACATTGCTTCCTCTTTCAGTGATCGGAGGGGAGAACAGCTGCTGGAAGTGTGCTGATCTCCTTCTGATTTAAGAATGGCTGGGTCTATGGCCGTCCGAACCCTTGTATGTGAATAGCCATCACCGGCTGTTTAAAATGGTACCAAGATCACAGCTGCTGCAGCATGCCGTCATTTATTGCCGGAGAAATGATAGGCTGAAAATGGAAGTGATGTAATACACATTGCTTCCACTTTCAGTGATCGGTGGGTCGAACAGCCGTTGCAAGTGTGCTGATCTCCTTCTGATGTACGCCGCTCCTGGAGCAGTTAAAGCTGAGCTCTGGGCGGAAAAAAAACTTTTATTTCAAATATTTTCCTCAATAGCCACAATCGCAAGTGAGATTGTACACTGCGTCATTTGGAATGTGGTTGCAGCGTGGCCCCACTGACTTCAATCGGCACATTTGGCAAGCAGCACCGCCTGCAAAATGTAACATGCTGGGTTAAATTTGCTACACCACGGCTGCAGCAACGTTAACAGACCTCAGTGGCTGCCATGCGAATTTGTAGTAAGGCGGTAAAAACGCTGCCTGTTTTTACTGCCCCTTTGCCTTCGGTGTAAACTAAACCTTAGAGAGATGGCAGGGTTGGAAATCCTTGGCCAGCAGAATCATTACCTTGGGATTAGCTGCTCTGAGAAAAGCAGGATAGCTGTGACCACAGGATTTAGAGAAGGGGGTGCCCAAGTATAAGCAGTGCCATGATGAAAAAGAAAAGGCCTGGCCAGTCAGGCTATGCCCTCTCCATGTATTTCCATGCCTTTAATGCCAGCCTGCACATACATCCACATTTAAAGGCTTTGCTTCTTCCATGAGTCTAAACATCATTTCCCTTAGACTAGTTTATTGTACATCCTGCAGAGCCGCTATCACCCCCGGGAATTTCCGCTTGTTTTATTTTCCAATTACTGCGTTCTGACAAAGCTGAATCTATAAGTAACTCATAAGGTGTATCATCGGATATTCCCGGGAGTGAGGGCTTTCTGTGTTTCTCTGCGGAATCATATCCAGTCTCACTGTTATCAGGATCCTGCTAATATTTCCTGTTCTTGGAGACCAGTAATTCCCAAACTGCACTCTGCCATAAACCTCCATTATAGACTTTGGAGGAACGCTGCACATCTGTTACCATGTGCCCTACCATGTGTGTGCTATGACAATGTGCCAATGATATCCTTAATAATCATCTGTACTCATTTCTTCCATTCTACAATAACCATTATGTACATCCACATACACCACCGGCTATGTGTGCAGGGCGCCTTCCCAAGTAGGGTTCCAGTGGTTGACTTTTCACATCTTTTACCTATTTAATAAAAAATTTTATGGCAGTAGGCACACTGTGATTTTTAATTGGAGCACCCGTTACTTGCCCTCTCTCCCTTCTCATCCTCTCATTATCTCCTTTGCTCTACAAAAGCTCTCCTTAAAGACTAAAGCTGTCCATACACGGTTAGATTTTTATTTTGTTCAACCTGTCGGCACAACCTCTTCTATTTTGATAGTGCCTTGCTGATAGTTTTTTGGGTCTAATGTGCATACATGGGAACTTTCCAAAGTCAGGGATCCTGAGATTGGGGCGTGTTTAGAGGTGGGGCAAGGGGAGGGGCTAATTGCAGCATGGTGGCCATATAGAGGACTATCAGTGCTGTAGCTTGATAGTGACAGGCCGGCAGATAAATAAATTATATGATGATGAATACATTTCACATTAGAACCTCCCTTTAACATCTGAAGCCCTCACTTCACATCAAAGCCCCCCTTTTTTACATCTGGAGACATCTTCACAACAGGAGGCCCCCTTCACATCAGGAGCCCCGCTTCACAACAGAGTCCCCTGTTCACTTCAGGAGACTCCCCTTCACATCAGGAGACCCCACCTGACATCAGCAAACACTGCCTTCCAATCAAGAGACTCCTTAACATCAAAGCTCCCCATTTCACATCAGTAGCCACTTTCACATCTGAAGACCTTCTTCACATCAGGAGACCCCCCCTTCACATCAGTAGCCCCCTTCACATGTGGAGCCCCCCCTTCACATCAGGAGCCCCCATTCACATCAGGAGCCCCCATTCACATCAGGAGCCCCACTTCACAAGAAAGTCACCTGTTCCCATCAGGAGACTCCCCTTTACATCAGGAGACCACACTTGACATCAGCAAACACCGCCTTCCAATCAGGAGACTCCTTAACATCAGAGCCCCCATTTCACATCTGGAGACCTCTTTCACATCAGGAGCCCCCAATCACATCAGGAGCCCCGCTTCACAAGAAAGTACCCTGTTCCCATCAGGAGACTCCCCTTTACATCAGGAGACCCCACTTGACATCAGCAAACACTGCCTTCCAATCAGGAGATTCTTCAACATCAGATCAGAGCCCCCATTTCACATAAGTAGCCCCCTTCACATCTGGAGACCTCTTTCACATCAGAAGCCCCCCTACACATCAGCAGACCCCATTCACGTCAGGAGGCCCTTTTCACATCAGGAGATCCCCCTTCACATCAGGAGAACCTGATTCACTAAAGAGTTTAAAACATAAGACTTCATAAATGGCTGGAAATCTCCATGCAATCTCTGTGCAATAGCAACATTCTAATGACTGCAGGTAACCCCTTAAACGCCATTTATTTTTGGCTTTGTCAGCCCCCGAGGGAAGTATGTTAATTGATTGCACAAGCTTGAGGGGCTGAATGTTACTTTGCAAGCTGTTTTCTCCCCATCCCCTGGGTGTCATTTTCTGCTAGTCTTGTCGTTTAGATCAGTATGCGAACCAGGCGTGTAACAGAGGACTTCATGCACCATTCTGTCTGCCGAGGGCCAGGTGGAAGATGTAAAAGACAAGAATCCTGTTCAGTTCTTATTGTATGCAGTCCCACAGCTTGTTTCAAAAGTGCTTCAGTATATGTATATCTGGCTTATTCACTGACCATATGGAAAGCTAAGTTATCTATAAAGGCCAATGATATCTCAGTTTTCTAAGGTTAGATGAGTAAAAGATGATATGGCTGACTCTGTACATTGGTCTTTGCTTTATTTAATAAGCCTGATATCTGAATTGTCTTGATGCTGGAGCTGCCTGCAATTGTTTTTTCAAGTTTGCTCGCTGACCACTGCTGCTGTTCCATGCACCACTCCTTAGGGTGCAAAGGTGATCAGAGAGGGGGGTTTGGGATGCAGACTTGATCAATGAGAGGGGTTTGGGATGCAGAGGGGAGCAGAGAGAGAGGTTTGGAGGGGAGTGGTGAGAATAGAGGGGGGTTTGGGATGCAGACTTGATCAATGAGGGGGGTTTGGGATGCAGAGGGGAGCAGAGAGGGAGGTTTGGAGGGTAGTGGTGAGAAGAGAGGGGGGTTTGGGATGCAGACTTGATCAATGAGGGGGGTTTGGGATGCAGAGGGGAGCAGAGAGGGAGGTTTGGAGGGTAGTGGTGAGAAGAGAGGGGGGTTTGGGATGCAGACTTGATCAATGAGGGGGGTTTGGGATGCAGAGGGGAGCAGAGAGGGAGGTTTGGAGGGTAGTGGTGAGAAGAGAGGGGGGTTTGGGATGCAGACTTGATCAATGAGGGGGGTTTGGGATGCAGAGGGGAGCAGATAGAGAGGTTTGGAGGGTAGTGGTGAGAAGAGAGGGGGTTTGGGGTGCAGAGGTAAGCAGAGAGGGGGGTTTGGGATCTAGAGGTGATCAAAGAGGGGGTTTGGGGTGCAGAAGTGACATGGGGGAATGGGGATGCAAAGGTGAACAGAGAGGGGGGTCCGGAGTGCAAAGATGATCATAAAGGGGGCTTTGGGACACAAAGCAGCAGAGAGGAGGGTTTGGGGGTACAGAGGTGATCAGAGAGGTGGGTCTGGGGTGCAAAGGTGAGCAGAGAAGGGTTTTAGGGTGCAAAGTGAATAGATGGGGGGTTTGGGTGCATCTATCCCTTTACTATTTTGAAGGCCTGAAAAGTATGCTACATCCAAGCAGCCCTTAGGGCTTGTTCATACCAAATGCAGACCAGATCTGCATGAGTTTCTGCACACGCAGTGCAGTGTGTTATGTCGCATTTTTTGATG